CAAATAGGCAGAAAATATGTGTGTAGATGGGTAGTATTTCAGAGTTAGGTGTCATGTTAACATCACGTACATCCCAAGAAGTTATTTTTCAGGGCAATGTCAATAGATTCTGTATATAATCTTTCTATTTCAGATGCATATATCCATTTAAAAATTCCACGGCACATGTACTAAAATGTCTTACCACCCCTTAAGTATCTTCTGGGATGTCAAATACCAAGCCTCATGAAATAATTAGTTAAAATTTCAGAAAGAACATGAGGACAAGGCCACTTGCCTTAACACTTTATATAACATTGATGAACAGAATGTCAGTCTAACATGCCTTACCTTGACTGTTCTCGAACCAAGGGATGCTATCAATAGTTAAGGATGTGGTGAGGTTTGAATGAAAATTCCTCTAAGAAGCTCAGCTCTCGTTGCTTCTTAATGAAAAATGTGTAATCTTGAATTTTACTCATGTCAAAAAACTTTCTTTTCCATCTGCGTTACATGTATATTCAAGAGTGAGCTTGGAAACAGCATGCCTGGACGAAGTCTATGGTTGGGCTGGAGTGTGTATGTAACATGTGCAGAGTCCAGTACAGAGGGAGAACAGAAAGGGAGACCATGTGAGCTGAGCAGCCCAGCTCCTGTAGTGCCTCAAGCATCTTGTGTCTAATTCTGTCCTGGTGAAAGGAATAGATATTTTATTCCCGTGTTACTGCATTTGAAAACTTAAAAGAAATAAATAGTTGGAAAAATACAATTTGTTTTTAGGAAATAAGTAAAAATGTAATTTTTATTTTTCAGGGGTATTTGCTCTTTATTTCCTTTGTTTTTTTATTTTATTTTGGTTATTGTTTTGTTTTTCACAAGCTATCACTCTGTAGCACCCGATACTTTAAAACATAAGATCCTCCTGCCTCAGCTTCCCTGGTGCTTAGATGACAGGAATACATAGGATTTTGTTTGTCTGTTTTCAACACACTGATTCACCATGGAGTTAAACTGTGAGGTTTGAGCAGTTCACCTTTTCAAAATTGCTAAAAGGTGATCCATTTATAATTCTAAGCAGAAAGAAAGATAAGAAATGACTGCTACAAGCTGGTGCCCAGAAATATCGGCCCCTCCCTTCTTTATCTCTCCTGTCCTCTGTCCTAAGTAAACACAGACTCTTCCTGTTAGTGATTCAAAAAAAAAAGGCAGTTAGGGTAACTTCTTCAACATATTATACAGGCAGTATTTAATTAATATCTACTGTTAACTTTACTGCAGTTACTATTTCTCAGAGAATAGATAAAAGCATACTTTTATATTAGTATCTAAATTAATCTTCAATTTATTAAAGCTTGTGGCATATGACTATGCCCATGTATATTCTATCATACCTTAGGAAGCCATCATTCTGTGATATGGTTGTGTTGTGCACAAACTAATATTGGAAGGAATACTGTTTAACATTGACTACAATAGTAGATTAAACAGTTGGACTGCCATCCTTCCTACCCTATTTAAGCTGGACATTCAGATACATCACAGGGATATTTAAAAGGTTTAAATGCTTCATTGCAGTTACCAAATAGTTCATGGAATGAGACATTTTAAGTTAACATGTTTTCAGTAAAAGCATCTTTACCTTTAAGCTTTCCAGATGACTCTCTCCCTAAATGTCTTTCTCTGTCTCTCAGTTATTTTGTTGTTGTCACAGCTGTTATATGAAAGTTCTCCGTGATCAGTCTGAATCTGTGCTCACTTAAAAAGCACAGCCATGTTGTGACTGTCACTACTTTAAAAAAGAAATACCCTCAACTCTCCTAGAATCCTGAAGTTGTACATAAGGAAGGGTGAGAAATACAAAACTTAAGGAGGGTAACACAAGTCTTTACTCTAACAAGATGGAGATAAATATCTAAGTACAGTTAAATAGAATGCTTTTGGGGAGGAAGGAAATAGACAAGGCATAAGCAAGGTTTTCGATTTGAGCTGTCTCAACTTCAGTTTTAAGAAGAGTCATTTTAATAAAAGCTCATGGTATTTTGATGGGTATTAAATCAGTCTGTGATGCCAGTTTCTCATTAGCCCAGACAACACAATTTAGGAAGTCAAGATGTAGGTTGGAATCTGATCTCACAACTGTCTGGCACTGATGATTTTAGAAGGAAATGTAGCAGCCTGTTACTACTCTCTGTTCACTCAGCTTGTTAAAAAAATAAATGAATCTACGTGACATTTCCAAAAGAAAGCATTCATTCCTAGTTTGTGGTCCTGGCGACTGCTCTGTCATTCTCGTGTGCCCATCTTCATTTACAAAATTTGGATTTCTCTGAGCATTACTGTTTAAAAGTTTATTATTGGGCATATATATGCTTATCTTTATCTTGGCCACAGTAAATCCACTAGGTAGAAAAGGGACCTCATTTTAATCTTCAGTTGATAAATAGAATGTTAATTTATTGAACCGACACAAGCCATTCTGGAGATTAAACGTGTGGGAGTAAAATGAGAGTGTTTCCAAAAACAGAGAGGTTCAATTTCAAGTCAGAGAGGGAACCAGCTGAGACTCTTACAAGGAGTGTAGCTCTTCAGACACTGATCCAGTTTTAAATAGAGTAAGTTGATAGTATTTGCCTAGATGATCAGAAATGTTTGCTATTTTTATATCATAAAAATAATGACTGTATCAAAAATACAAAGTCTGTACACAGTTTTTGCTTATTACCATCAGTTCAGGAACTGTGATGTTTAAGGCTAATTATTTCAAGTAAAGCTTTAATGCCAGGTACTTCCTAAAGGAATCAGTAGATGTGGCCATTGAGAATTGGAAAACAGCCCATCTGCCTTTTACAACCATTATAGCCTGACATGACACCATAGTTTGTAAGCCACGAGTTGCTGTGAACGCTCATCATGCTCTGTCCTCTGGATGAAGGTGTGGGACCTTTGGATGGATGTGGCTCTTCAAGTTTGAAGTGTATACACTAAACAAGAAAGCCCTTCAAACGTTCACTAAACAGAAGGGATAAGCAGACAGTCTCTGGGATTTCCAATCTCCATAAAGTACAGGCTGATTCAGATTCTACTCTGTGGAAAGCTATTTGGCCTGTTACTATTTTGATAACTGAAGTAGCCACATTAACACATTTCAGTCTTGGCCTTCTAGAAATAAATGCAACACAAGAATAAACAATATAAGATTATAAGTCTAATTCCTCTCTAGTCTTTGAGAATGGCTATAAAGAGGAAAATTGAAATGTGCTTTATTTCTTAACATCAGTGATCGTCACAGAGGCCATCCATGCTTGACCGGTTTAGCTAAAGAAGTGTTTGCTTTCAGTCCAGCCTAAATAACTGATGTTCCGATAGAATGTGCATGTTCCTTCCAGATCTAACTTCTCAAAGTTCACATTTGCAATTTTTTTCATCATAATACATCCACTCAAAGGAATATGTGACAACTCGGATGTATTCCTCTCGTAAAGCTGTTTGTTTTCTAACTCTTTGCCTTTCTTGGCATAGTCTATCCTTCCTCTGGCCAGTCAGTGTAGGGACTCTGATCAAGGACAGCCTTACTCAGAAATTAGACCACTGTCTTTTCTCTCTCCACCTGTCCTACCCTTTATTAGTCACAAATCCTTTGATAAATGGCCATTTACCTTGCCCTCTGGAACTGGTTGATCTCGGTAACCAACCACACTATTAGCAGAGATCTTAAGGAGCTACATTCACTTCAACCATGGCAAACCCAATTTTCATGCTAATTCTGAGTTTTGAACAGAATTACCTCTATGTCTTACTACTCTGTTTCTCTTAAATACTTAAATGTTTCCTGGCTTACTGTCCAGAGGAACAGAAGTAGGCGTCACAAATATAACTTTAAATAGCAAATCGTAACACGGTTAACATAGCCACCAACTCCTACTTGCACTGTCTGAAAAAACAAAACAAAAAAAAAAAAAACAAACAACAACAAAAACAACCCTCTGCTAAATCTTTTAGTCTCCTTAAGGAATCTGTAAAAGCTTAGCATTGTGATAACTACGATAGAAAAACCAGCAATTCTATGAGACCAGGTAGTTTATTTTATCTCGGTTTTACAAATCTGTTCTAAATTTCATTTTAAAGGCACAGCGCAAGCTTTGGCTTGGTAGTTTACTTCATGAGTAACTCGCTAGCATTTTATAGCAGCGGAATTTAACGGTTGGGTTCCAGAGAAACCATGTCAACATGGACAGACACAGTGGCTGGAGGGCACTGGACACAGTGGTGAGATTTTCGGTCCCTCTGTCCAGCTCTCCCAACCCCTCTCTTTCTTTCTCTCTCTGAAGTCACAAAAGGCAGCTGAGTTCGCAGCTGGAAACAACAAGTTGCGCCACGGATCCAAGCTACCGCCTCAGGTAGCAAGCAGGGTCGCAGGCTCAGTTGGAATCTCGGTTGCCAGGCAAACTAGGAACCAACCACAAAACCTGGTTCAACCTCATGCGTAAAAGTGCTTTTGCTGCCTGACAGAAGGAAAATGACGCAGAGGGGAATGGACCGACAGTACAGCGATCCTTGTACTCTCTTCGTACCCTCAGTCTCGGTGCCTGCTGTAGAGCCATAGGGCTCACCTTATGTGCCCAAGAACCTACCATTTCCATACTCTCCTAAGGCTTGGGAGGCAGAACACTAGCACCAAGCTCCCCAGCACCGCGGGGCATAGAGGCTGATCCTTTGTTTACCATGTAAGTCACACCAGGGGTTCGCTCCAAGCTCTCACCTCTGCCTTACAAAGCGATTCAGAGAGAGCCTGGAAGCACCCCCAAACTCCCCCTCAATCAGGGTGACCCAAAAGAAAGCTTCGCAAAACCTTTCCCCAACCTTAAAAAGCAACCAAGCTGCTGCACCCTGGTGACTCGTAATCCCTAAGGGATGCCCGCCTCCCTGGGAAGGAGCCTGCTTCCCAGGAGGTTTGGGAAACTTAACCAGTATCCCAGTTACGAGGCCAGCGTCTTGAGCGCAGAAACTGCACCCTCTCTTACCTGCAAAGTTGCAATCCGGTGGCTGAAGTGGCTGCGGTGGGCTCGGTCGGCGCGCAGCACCAGTGGTGCGCTGGGCGCCAGAGCAGCCGGTCAGTTCCGATGGGGTTTCCGTAGTCGCTGCCGAGTTTTGGAGCATTCCAAGGGGAAAAAAACCCGCACGAAGCCGGAGCCCACGCAGCTGGCACGGAACTGGGCGGAGTGAGGATGCTGGAGAGCCAGAGCAGGGGTGCGGGGGAGGGGCGGCCCGGGAGGGGGCGGGGTGCCCAAGACTACAGCCTCACCCGCCTGACTCTAATGCTTTTCCCCACCTTACCTCTTCCCAAAGTTGCGTTTCCAAGGTGGCTACAGAGTAGCCTGGAGGTCCGCTCCCACCCACCCTGGATCGGCCCTACAGCCGTGGATGCGCATCCCACGCACCTCTCAGAGAGCGGGTGGAAAGGACCCACATACATCGCGGAACTCCATCCCGGGAGCATCTCTCCAAGTCAGCCAGTGGGCAGGGTGACACTCCCGCCAAGCTCTTCACCCAGCTAAGTTGATGGCCAGGACAGACCCCTAGGTCTAGGTTGCTTGGCAAACATAGATCTGGGCTTTGGTGGGGCCCCACAGGGATGCAGAACTTCACTTAGCAACCGGACCCAATACTGAAAAAACCTGTTCTCACAGTAGCAAGCAAACACCCATGTGTGCGGGCCATCTGATGGAGCAAATTATCTATTCCCCCATCCCCCCGCAGCCCCTGCAACTCTGGTCTCTGCCCTGTTCTCCTGGCAGCCCCTCTCCTGTCCTCAAGGTGTCACACTTCCCTTGCTAGTTAGGGCAGGGATGTGGCTTGCCACTACTGTCAACAATCCAGACAGTGGCAATAAATAAATGATAAGCCACAGTGTCCCATACACTCCTACCCAGCTCTATCTCTAACAGCTGGTACAGGAAATCAGTAAGTTTGCCATATACTTAATCTCAAATCACGTAGCAGCCTGGGAGCTGGAGGTCCTTGGTGGATGTAGATGAATGAATGCACTGGTGTGCTGGTCACTGGACTTCAGCACATCTAACCCTTTCCTGGAGATTTCAAGATACAGTTTACTCTTGGTCAGTTTGTGTAGTATTCAGACACAATAAGATCACAGTACAGACACGTAGCTTGCCACATGATTGGTCATGGCCTCAAGACTCAGGGAAAAACTTGACAATGAATTTGTAAAACAGCCTCCTCCCAACACTCCAGGTATCTTTCTTTTAGAAGCACAGGTCATGAGCTCCCCTTGCCTGTGACATCCCACCAGCAAACATTCCTTTTAATTCACTTCCATCCTGTGGTTCTGAAATTCAGATGAGTTGAGGTGTTCTTGGGTTTGTTTTGTAAAGGGTAATTACAGAGCTAGTGTCATTTGTTGGCTTACTCATTGGAATGAAGGGCTGCCTGTTGTGTTTTCTTTTCAAAATGCTGTTCATAACTGTCAATTTTTCTTTCTCCCTAGCTAACTGCTCTTCTTATGGGTCAGCATGACTCCTATTCTGATCTTGAGGGAGCACAGTCGTGTACATCCATCCATAGTCATCTTCGTCTCCCCCACCCCCGGCCACACACACACACACACACACACACACACACACACACACAAATACCTACATCTTTACGACACAGTAAACAAACCTGCACCAGAAAACCGGGTGAACAACAGAGCAATTCCAGTCCTTCCCTAAATCTCTTTTACTGTTTGCCACAAATACATATCAACATTTTTAAGGTACTTTTTTTCCCCTTAGCATTAAAGATTGAGGGTTTTTTTTGTTTGTTTGTTTGTTTGTTTTTTGTTTTTTAATTTTACATATCGATCCCAGTTCCCTTTCCCTCTCTCCCTCCCTCCCTCCTTATTACCCTCTATCCCCACTCACATGTACCCCAATCCCCCTTCCCTCCCCCCCACTCCACCGGGTGATGTCATCCAGGAGGGGTCATCTGTCAAGTCATTAGAAGTAGGGACTAGGACTTCTCTCCTGTCTCTAGGTTAAGTCAGTATCCCTCCAGGGGGATGTGTCCACAAGGTCCTTTTGTGCACCAAGGATACATCCTGGCTCTACTGTCTGACCTCCCTTAGACTACTCAGTCCTTCTAGCTGAGGCCCATATTCAGGGGGGCCTGAGTCAGTCCCATGCTGGCTTCCCAGCTATCAGTCTGGGGGCCCTTTAGCTCCTCCTTGTTCAGGTCAGCTGTCTCTATGTGTTTCTGTAGCCTGGTCTTCTCCTCCCTCTCTGCATCTGGATTCTAGTTTGACTCAGTGTTTAGTTGTGAGTATATGCCTCTGTTTCCAACAGGTACTATATGGGGGCTCCATGATGGTGGATAAGTTAGTTGTTGATCTCACTATCAGGGATGGGCATTTATGGTACCCTTTCCACTGTTGCTCAAATTGTTAGTTGGAGTCAAACTTGCAGGTCTCTAGACCTTTCCTTAGGTTCAGTTTTCTCTTCAAACCTATAATGGATCCCTCTTTTATGTTCTCTCTCTCTCTCTCTCTCTCTCTCTCTCTCTCTCTCTCTCTTTCTCTCTCTCTCTGTCTCTCTGTCTGTCTCTCTCTCTCTCTGTCTGTCTCTCTCCTGTCTTCTATTGCTACCCTGGCTCAATCTCCCTAGTCGCACTTGCTTTCCTCTCTTCCACTTCTCTTTCTCCTAGTTCCCTCTCTCCTGACAGCCCCAACCTATTTCCCATGTGCTGTGGAGAATTTGTTCCTTTCCCCTTCTGTGAGGGACCTTATATGAATCTCTTAGAATCCACCTTGTATCTGCTGGTGGGAGTGCAATCTTGTACAGCCATTTTGGAGATCAGTATGGCGGTTCCTCAGGAAAATGGAAATCAGTCTACCACAGGACCTGGCAATCCCCCTCTTAGGCATATACCCAAATGACCCACATCCATGCTACAAAGACATCTGTTCAACTATGTTCATAGCAGCATTATTTGTAATAGCAAGAACCTGGAAGCAACCAAGATGCTCCTCAACTGAAGAATGGATAAAGAAGATGTGGCACATCTACACAATGGAATACTACTCTGTGGAAAAAAACAATGGAATCTTGAAATTTGCAGGCAAGTGGATGGTACTTGAAGAAACCATCCTGAATGAGGTAACCCAGTCACAAAAAGAGGAACATGGTATGTACTCACTTATATATATGGATTTTAGACCTAGAGCAAAGGATCACCAGCCTATAATTCACACCGCCAAAGGAACTAGGATACAAGATTTCGTTTTATAACATATGCAAAATGTATGTATCTATAGACATATCAAAGAACTTTACAATAAATCTAAACCCACTTTATACCAAAGAAGGAAAGGAAAACACACACACACACATACACACAGAGAGGGAGAGAGAGAAGGAGAGGGAGAGGGAGAGATCTGCTTTATGTGATACAACTGGAATTATTAGTTTTTAATTCTTCACCTAACCTTTTTTTCTCGACCAATAAGTGTATAAGGACCAAAGGGAAGCTAAGTGACAATGATGGGCTGTGATGAATGTAGGTCCTTCTGAAACCTTTGAAGCTATTTGAAAATGAAACACCAATCAAGAACAACACTTTAGATCACCCACACACCCCTTTCCTTTTTATAGCAGATACCATTTTATATATATATATAAAGCTGTATGCCAGTTACTTGTTTCTTATCAGCTAGCTCTGTCTTAATTATTAACCCGTTTCTATTAATCTAAGTATTTCTACATGGTCTTATCTTACCGGAGAGGGGGGGCTGGCGTTCTTCTCTCTATCTGCCATCTTGGATCTCCTCCTTCCTACTTCCTCTCTCCTCCTAGTCTCCTAGTCCTGCCTATCTTGCTTTGCTATTAGCCAACAGTGCTTTATTCATTAACTAATTTACAGAATGACATCTCCCATCATCTTCTCTTTTCTGTCTAAAATAAAAAGAAGGGTTTTAACCTTACCATAGCAAAATGTATAACAAAACAGCAATCAAATAAGAACCATAGTTAACAATATTTAGTCCATTAATATTTAGCAATATTTAAACAAAATATTTCATCATCTATCCTATCTTTGTGAGTCTGAAGTCCTATATGTAACTTATCTTTAATCCTAACTAAAGAAAACTATAAGTATCTGTCATCAACTCCTTCAAAGACCACAGAAGGATAATATATAAACTCTAGAAATGACAGAGACAACTCGCCGCCTAGTCAGTCACCTGAAGTTCTTCTGTAATGTTCCATCTTCAGCCCATAGGCCATAGTGTGTCTGGTAGACTCCTCAACAAAGCAGGAAACTTTAAACTGTCCATCTGCATTGGCAGTTTGTCAGTCACTTTTCCCTGTCTCCTGCAGTCTGTCTGGCAGCAGGAACCCTGTAGCAATGTCCATCTTGTATCAGCAGTCACTTTCCTGTGGATTCTGCATGTCCAGTTTATACAGCATAAAGTCAAACTGTCGAGACAAGAGCAGTATCTTGCCCAAATTTGGCTAGTCTTGTCATATTGAAAGCAAATTCCATAACGTGGTTTTTCAAGGACCATCTTCCTTTCTGATGCAGGTGGTGTTGCCAGGAGCAGTTGTGCCTCACTGTTAAGAAAAACCCTAAACCATTTTAAATGCTATATTATGTAGGTCTTTGAAAGGTTTGAAGAATGCCTATCTACCTCAAATACATCTCTGTGTATCTTGAAAACCTAACTAAACTTAACTCTAAGATTTGATTATCATAGGTAACTATCTATAATCTGTATTAAATTATACATTACATTGTTAAATGAGCTATATAAACACAATACCTAAACAACAAGAGAAATATACACATCACAAAATTGACCTTAAATTGTATCAATAAATGAAAATCCATTTTAAAACAAAGTATTTATCTCTATACCATAATCCCCTTTTTACCTTTAAAAGAATCAGTTGTGATCATTAACCATTTATAACCAAGCCCATTTAAATGACAAAAAACATTTATAAACAATATTTGGGAATTTGGGTGTCATTCTTTCCAAACTGCTTCCTGCTGGTAGGGGGTGCTGTCATGGGGGATCTGAAAGAGATGCAGAAATCCTGGTTGTAATCTGTAAGGTTGCCTTGTCCCAACAGTTTTGAATGTTGGATCACCTGGGACTCTGTTTCAGGGGGTCTTGCTTGATCAAACCACATTAGTCTAGAAGGAATCCTCAGCTTTTCATTTTCTGTGGAAACAAAATTAGAAATCCT